CACTTTCAGCAGTCGGCAGGTTCTCTGTCAGGGCGTGAGGGTGCGGGGGGTCAGGATAGGCCGAGGGGTAGTTCAGCACCCGGCTCGCCTGCTTGGTCAGTGACAGATCTGTACCGCACCCCCTCCAGCAGCAGGTCGCACCTCGTCCTCCAGAATACAGCAGGAGACTTAAGCTCCAGTGCCAGCCTGTCAGCTCGTACGAGGCCTTGTGAGGTACCTTCCAAAAAGGGTTCCCTGCTGGGCTCAGAGAATCGTGGGGAGCGAGCGTTATTTTATTTGCTTTGTGAGTAGTTCTTAAGTAAACCTTGCATCTTCCTTCCAAAACAAAGAGTTAGCTTGACAGTATCAGACTTTGCGTGTCTTAGTGGGTCTTCCAGCCCATTGTTGTGGTTTTCCTTGTCTGGAAGTTAAGAGAGAGATGCAGAGCACAGCCTAGCAGTGTAGCAGAGTGCTGATTGTTCGGTAGCACCAGCTGGAGTTACTGCTTATATCCATAGTGCTGATTTCTGAGGAGTCTATGTTAGGTTTTGACTATAGTGGGCAAACTCAGCCTAAAGAAAGCAACCCTGACACTTAGTGTTTATGATATAGGAAAGTTAGGCAGATTAAAATGGAAAAAGTAATGGCCTCAATATATGGTGACTTAAATATTTTTATATACAGTTTTCCTGAGTGTTGATATGGACAATCAGAAAACCAAATAAAACCCAAACAAAACCCCCCAAACCAACACAACCCCAAACCCCTCTATCTTTGTTTATTTAACAGACAGTTAAAAAGAGTTTTAAAATCAATTAAAACCTGGAACTAATCTGGTGTTGGTGGGGGCAAGGTGACTGGCATTTTTGTCCTTTCTAAGGTCTGCTCCTGCAGGTTACCTCAAATCAGGTGTTATAGCTATGTCTGCACATAATCAGTATTTTATAAGAGGACATTGAGCCTGGTTTTCCTGACTTTAAGTCAGTAATACCTAGGGGGAATGTTCACACACTTTTGACTAGAGAGAGAAAAAGAATCTCACAGTAGCATACCAGTTTTGTGTGGGGGTCTGCATAGTAAATTGGTTTTAAATGGGAACACACACAGGTATTGTACTGAGCTCGCTGTACGGGTCTGATTCCTCATGTGGTTCAAAGCAGTGCAAGATACAATGGGAGAATAAAATTCTGTTCCTGAAAAAGAGAATCTACCTAAACAGTTGGACTTGGATTACTGTTGTAGGATATTTCAACTGATGGTGAATTTTTCCCTCGTATTTGTTGGAAACTGGATTTGCCATTCTGCATTCTGTTCTTTACATTTTTAAATACTTTTAAAAAGTGTAACAGTTGTCTGTCATTCTCACCCCCCCCCCCCCCCCCAATGTTGCTTTTACGCATTAAAGCAGCTTTGAAAGGTTCTGGTGAGGTTTTTGGAGTTCTTGGAATTGGAAATGCGTGCCTCAGATACTTTGTAGAATTGTATTCATTGACACCTTCACTTTCTTGCTTGATAATCTCCCAAACAAAATAAAACGCTCTGTCTGTGCAAACACTGAGCCTTAGTGCTGATTCTTTTAGACAAAGCATCGTGCTGAGTGGTGGCATTGCTAGAGAAAAGTCCTAAACACATCTAAAGACTGAGGAGTGTTTTTAATTTTAAAAATTTATTTAATATGTATTTAACGTGTATTTAAGTTCTTAATAGATTGAATCACAAAATTGTTTCCTGCTCAAATGCAGTAAGTTACTTCTGACCTCATGTTGCTGTTGTAGGGTGCAGTAGAGCCCATGCAGATCGACGTAGATCCACAAGAAGATCAGCAAAATGCACCTGATATCAACTACGTGGTGGAGAACCCCACTCTGGTACGTGCCGGTTGAAGGCTAGTGGGTTACATTTCTTGGGCATAGTCTCTTCCTTTGAGGTTTTTGAGAAAACTTCCTCATTTTACTCCTTGTCAAATTGGTGTTTGGAGATGAATAGATTCTGTTCAAAGCAGGGTGGAGTAGGGCTAGCTGTGACTGCGTCTGCAGCTCCTTGTCACATGCTGCCCCAGACTGCACCTTCTGAGCTGTAGGAAGAGGGAAGAAAATTACATCTAGGGTGCTTGTCTGGTTCAGGAGACTTCAGGCTCAAATGACGGAATCTCGACAAAATTATGCTTTAAAATGGATGAGCTGATTAGCCTTAACTGAGAGCATCACAACTGAAATAAATAAAAAAGATAAGCTGTAATGTACTGAATATTTCTGAGGAAATTACTAATGTTTGAAGGAAGCAGAAATGAACTCATCTTACTTGATTTTTTTCTTTGAGTCATTCATGTTACCCTCCATGAAGGGGTCAGGACTGGAGGAAAACCTGTGCGAGTCACAGCTTGGCAGCCTGATGTACTGTTGCTGTCTTTGCCTGCAGGATTTGGAGCAGTACGCGTCCAGCTACAGTGGTCTGATGCGAATTGAGCGGCTGCAGTTTATCGCTGATCACTGCCCACAGCTGCGGGTGGAAGCTCTCAAGATGGCACTGTCATTTGTCCAGAGAACTTTCAATGTTGATGTGTACGAAGAAATCCACCGAAAGTTGTCTGAGGCGACCAGGTACTAAATGATTGTGGGAATCTCAGGAGGTTTCTCGAATTAAGCTGGATGTGCCACGATGCGGCACTCCCTGTGGAATACTAGCGTGTTCCTTACACAGATTGTCTTTGCCCATAGAATTTGATTGCTGTGAAATGGATATGTTCAGGCCTAAGGTCTGATGCTTTTTAAAAAAGATTAAACACAGAGAACATCTCATTCCGAGGTCGTGGTGTTTTAGAAGGCTTGCAGGTTGGTACTAAGGAGAGTTTAGTCCTTGCAACTGCTTCACATATCAGTGAACACAGTTATCTTTCCTTAGGTAGATTATGGAGGTGAAGCCTCTTCTAGATGCTCCTGTGCTCATAAATTAAAACCTTATCTGTTTGCCTTTGTTTCCTGCCCGCCCCAACAGCAGGTTTGCTGTTAAGGGTAGCATCTGATACCTCACTTAATCACCCACACTTCCTGGCTTTGCATTACTTTTGTTGCCATGCATATTTGCTGATACCTTGTCTGTTTTGCGCTGGTGGCCTTTACCATTTAAGTATGACAGGATATTCATTGCTTTCAGTGCTGGGTTAGGCATCTGCAAGTGTTCAGTGGCTAGCCCAGCCCTAGACCTTGACACTTTCTTATACATGAAAAGGACCACCCCAAAAAACTCCAAATGTGTTTTTCTGTTAAAAATATTGGAAAGTGAGTGCACCGCAAGTACCTCAGTTGATCTCGTCTGGATGGAAAAAGTTTGTGGTATCTGTACAGTTTAACTTTGGAGAGAACTTGTAAGCATGTGCAGCCTGTGTCCTGTATAGAGATGTTCGGTTGGATTCAGCAATTCTTTAGAATCATTAACTACTTCACAGAATGTCGTAATTCGTTGTAGCACTGTTACTAACATGCTTTCAATTGGTTTATTGAGCGGGTTGTTTCCTTAAAGTTAGAGGTGACTTGTTTGTTAATAAAATACCTGCAAAAGATCATTAGGCTAATTTTGAGAAGAATTTGTAAATGTCTGTGCTACAGTACTATTTTCACTGGAAATCTTAGCAGTCTTTTTTTACCTCACCATCCTTGTTTTCTCTTTAGTCTGTGTTGTGCATGCAGTACTGTTTGTTAGGGTAATGAGGCCAGGCACTTAGCAGACATCTGTTTTGAAAAATTTGCAGCATCGTAACCCCATTCAAACTCTTTCCTTTCAGAGAACTGCAGAATACACCTGATGCTGTCCCCGATAGTGGAACTGAACCTCCTCCTCTAGACACAGCTTGGGTTGAAGCTACACGCAAAAAAGCTCTTCTCAAACTGGAGAAACTCGACACAGATCTGAAAAATTACAAAGGGAACTCAATCAAGGAAAGTATCAGGTGAGATGCAGAAGGCTCTGCTGGAGCAAGGAAGAGCATATTGCTCCTCCAGGCACCTAACACAGGATGTCAGCTGCATTCAGTGCCTTAGGTCAGTGTGCCGAGTTACTTGTTTGGAACAAACTGACTGGGTCTCTTTCTGAGCACACTGTTAATTGGTATTTTAATTCCTGTGCTCCAGGAGAGGCCATGATGACTTAGGTGATCATTACCTTGACTGTGGCGACCTCAGCAACGCTCTCAAGTGTTACTCACGAGCCCGTGATTACTGCACCAGTGCTAAACATGTTATCAACATGTGTCTCAATGTCATCAAGGTAGGAAGGTTTGCAGGAAATGGTACTTGGAGTCTTTCTGATATCTGCTGTAGAGTCCAGCTGTACTTTACTCTGGTTACACATCTTGTGTCTGCAGTGATACTGCTTATCTAAGTAACACCCGTTATCCGTGCCTGTTCAGCACCATTTCTGGCTCTCTACAGGTCAGCGTCTACCTCCAGAATTGGTCTCATGTTCTGAGCTATGTAAGCAAGGCTGAGTCTACACCAGAAATTGCAGAAGTAAGGTCCTGCTTTTTAACTTCATGAGTTTTCCCTTTGTTTTCTGTCTCCAAAATTTGTAATACAATTTCTTCCTTTCCCACTTTATGACTGGCTCCCTATAAGACTCCCTTCATCTTACAGTCTGTTCTTCATTTATTCCAGGCTCCTCGATGCTATGCTGTTTCTTTTGAGATGCGTTGTTGCTTTTCTCCCATGAAATGCGTGTAGGAAATCTGACTCACAGTAAAACCAGAGACAGCTCTTGCCATATTTCCTAAGATAAATAAGAGGAAGCTGTTGTGCTGTTGAGATTTGCAAGATAATTATTAGGATGAAATATCCCGAGGAGAGTTATAATCAAAATAGTTTTCATACTGCTTGCTCACTACTGCTTTTTCTTATCCTTTAGCAAAGAGGAGAAAGAGACAGTCAGACACAAGGAATTCTGACCAAACTGAAATGTGCAGCAGGTGAGTGAATCCTTCAGCTTCCTGCGTTGTCTACCTGTCTTTCTGCCTGTTAGCTCTCCATAGGGCCCTTTGACAACGGTGTGTGCTTGGTGTGTTCTCTCACCAGAAATGCAAAATTTAATAAATCCGATGAGATGGAACTGCTGACTTGTTTTTACCAGTTTTTTATTCTCCCTAAGTTTCTTCAGAGAGGGTGGCAGTGTGAGTCAATGTAGTTCAAAGGATGCTAGATACTGTCTTGAGAGTCTCGTTTCTCTTCAATGGTGAAGGCACAAGCAACCGTATGGGAGCCTGTCCTGCCCCCCAGGTTTTGCAGTTTGTCCTAATTTGTATGCTATCGTTGTTTATGACTTACTTTTTCTGGTCCCTAGGCTTGGCTGAACTAGCTGCTCGGAAGTACAAACAGGCAGCAAAGTGCTTCTTGTTGGCATCGTTTGATCACTGTGATTTCCCTGAGGTGAGGACCGAGAGGGAGCTGTGTGCAGGTCTTGGAGGGGATGTAATTCTTTTAAGTATGAGGTTGTAAAGTTCAGATATCATGGTTATTCTCATAGCGCTCCTGTATGGTTTGGTGGGGCTGTGAACCATGTTGCTTTGGTTTGCTTTGTTTTTTTAAATAAGTCTCTGTTTGTGGATTCTCTAAATGATCAACTCTACATCACGTAGGAGTTACCTGTGAGATTTGCATATCTCGGTAGCTCAGTCGAAAGACTGGCTGTTGGAATTGGTTTCTGCTCTCTTAGCAGTGGACAGTCACTCCTCAGGCTCTGGGTGAATGCCCAAGAGCATGTCGAGTGGTTTCGCTGTGTTCGACAAGGACTCGTCCCTGCAGGAAGGAAGGGCCCGGTGTAGAATACTTAATTCCAGCCTTCTGCTGTTTTTGTAGTCTGTGACAGCGCTCTCTCTGTCTCCAGCTGTTATCTCCTAGCAATGTGGCTGTATATGGTGGTCTCTGTGCCCTTGCTACCTTTGACCGTCAGGAACTGCAACGAAATGTTATCTCCAGCAGGTAAGTGATGCCTTGAGAGGAGTTTGTGTACTGGACATCTTTTAGGACATAGGACTTGGGCTGAGAGTGGGTTCTGGCAGGAGTAATAGCTCTTTTACTCAGGAGAAAAAGAATCACTGAGCTTTACTTTGGCTTTAGCATTAAGTGATGTTTCACTGTCTAAAACACAGGAGTTAATCACAGCTGAAATTTTCATAGTATAATGGAAGTTTCCAATCCAGGTCAAATCCGACACCTACATAGCCCAGTTTTGTATCTCCGTCAGTGGTCCGTATCAGAGATTAAATGGGAGGGACAGAGCCCTACAGAAGGCACCTCTAAGATAATTTCCCTTCATGTTATCACTTGTTCTGGTGTATGTTAATTGTATTAGTACAAGTTAATAACTGTTCTACAACTTGCAGCATAATCTAACTGTGACATAGACAGGGTTAAGAGAATTACAGTCTTTGAAGAAAACAGATATTTGTGTGTCACAGCGTGAATTACAGTGATACTGAATTCCTGTCAGCTGAGTGCATGGAAGCCCTGGTTTTAAATTGGTGTGGAAAAAGGATTGTTACTCTGCCTTTTTTATTGGCTGACTTGTAGGATGAGGTCCCAAGTTTTGGAAATCTATGATGGAGAACTGGGAGAGTGCTGAGAAAGAATGTGTATCCCAAAGATCTCCCACACTTACAATCGGTTCTTTTCCTGAGACAGTTGTATGCTTACACTTCCTGTGGCACACCGTACTCGGAGAAGGCGGTGCTTTGACAGGGAACACAAAGCTGTCCAGCGCAGACAGAGCACACATAGATGTGACCTGTGTTTTCTAGCGGTGCATCCTGATTTTGACCTGTGCACACTCTAGTTTTTTGTGTGTTGGCAAACACACTGCTTGATTTGTCAAGTCTCTTGCTTTCTTTCACCACAGCCGTGATGCTGTGCTGCATCTCTCTGTATTCCAGGCTCCCAGCCCTGCTGAAAATGGGCTCTCTGGTCTGTTGGAGAGTAAAGTCTCGGAATCTTCAATTGATAGAGTTTGTAACATTGCAACTGGGAGTGATGGGGTTGTGGGGTCTTGAAGTGGTGGATTCCAGGGTCTGATGACTGCCGTCTTTATCTGTAGCTCCTTCAAATTGTTTTTGGAGCTGGAGCCACAGGTTCGTGACATCATCTTCAAGTTTTATGAATCTAAATATGCTTCATGCCTGAAGATGCTGGATGAGATGAAGGTTAGTTGTGGGGGGGCAGCGCAGAACAAACCCTAAGAGTTCTGTCACCTAGCCTTTTGTGAGAAGCAGCAACTGTTAAAAGTGGTTACTAAGAGTGCTCAGCTCTTCTGTGTCTTCTATCACCTGATGTGGTGAATGGGAATTGAGAGTAGTTTAGCAGTAGAGGGTGAGGAGAAATGATAAATTTTTAAAATATATTGCTAGGTCTTTTATTCTTTCTTGTTTTATGGTATTGTCCCACTGTAGTGTAATATCCAGGGGGCCGGTTAGCTCAGTCAGTTGAGCGTAGCGCTAGCAACTCTAAGGTCACGGGTTCGATTCCCGTTCAGTCCCCATGTGTTGCCTGATCTAGTCGAGAGGCGGCGTCCCTGACGGCAGGGAGGCTGGATTAAATGATCTCTAAGGTCCCTTCCTTAGGCCATTCTGTGGTTCTATGATTCTATCCTTTAAGTATATACACATACATGTTTGAGAACATAGGAGTAGTACATTTTTCCAGGTTGCTTCTCAGCTTCTGATGTGTTTTTTGCACAGGACAACCTGCTGCTGGATATGTACCTTGCACCTCACGTCAGGACACTTTATACCCAGATTCGAAATCGTGCCCTTATACAGGTAATTGTTCCCATAATCCTGAGAGGTGGTTGAACAGTGAGATAAGCCATCTCTTTGTAATTGCTTTTCCCATGGTTTTTCAGAGGGCAGAGAGTACGTTTTGCAACCGAGTATATTCTTCTTCCTAGTACTTCAGCCCCTATGTGTCGGCAGATATGCGCAAGATGGCCACCGCATTCAATACCACAGTGGCTGCTCTGGAAGATGAGCTTACTCAGCTCATCCTGGAGGGACTGATCAACGCCAGAATAGACTCACACAGTAAGGTGAGTGCATCTGAGCCACAGATGATAGACCAACCAGCTGCACTAAGGTTAGAAACTCTCCGCTCCTGGGACCCTTTGAGGTTGCATTGATCTCTTGCCACTGGTACTGTCAGTGGGGCTCCCCTGTGTGTGAACTCACACCCAGCAATACCTTTGCTTTATTCCCTTGCGCAGAAAGGGCTTTCTGCAGTGGAACCCTGTCATAGCTCCCATGTACGGTTCTCTGTATTGGTTACAGATTCTTTATGCTCGAGATGTAGATCAGCGCAGCACAACTTTTGAGAAGTCTTTACTAATGGGCAAAGAGTTTCAGCGACGTGCCAAGGCGATGATCCTGCGAGCTGCAGTCCTGCGCAATCAGATACATGTCAAGGTATGGGCATGTTAAGTGTTAAGGTGTTTAATTTTTTTAAAACTGAAACTAAAAGTTGGTGAACTGAAGATTCTGGAAGGTAGCAGATTTTTTATGCTCATGATTGGATAAATTCTTAAAATAGTAAACACTGAATATATAAGTTTCTAGCCAATACATTTTGCTTCGTGTGCAATACAGGATGTCCTTTGAAGTTTGTAGTCTTGGTTTGATTCTAACTAATTCATTTTAAATAACTTTTTCATACACGTCTTTTATCAAACCAAGATTGAGGTATTTTTTTTTTTTTATTAGAGGAAGTAAAAAATGCATTAATTGCTTGGAGCGTCCTTTCCAAGATGCAGTTCCAAAAGGATGCCCTTAGGAAGGATATATCCTCCGCCACAGGATGTGTTAAATTCTGTAGTACGTTAATCTCTGATAAGTGAATGCCAGATAGGACTCACCTTCTGAGGCCAACAGCACATCGTACATAGTAAATAAAAGTGGCTTAAAAGTTCTGTTTGACTTTTTGGAAGCAGTTCTTGTGAGCTGTAACTATGGAAGTTGTAAACACAAAGCTTTTGCAAAGCCGTTACTGTTTATGAGTTGGGAGTGTGCTCTCTTCCTGCTGTGCTTCATTTGATCTCTCAGGAAGCGCTCTGCAGAATATTTACACATCGCTAACTAGGATGTGCTTTGGTCTTGTTGCAGTCTCCTCCAAGAGAAGGTAGCCAAGGGGAGCTTACTCCAGCTAACAGCCAGTCCAGGATGAGCACCAACATGTGAAAAACTTCGTGCACTACCAAAAGAAATGGTCCCTCCAGGACTGTACCCAGTGTCTCACCCACTAACCGCTGAGCTTCACAAACTGTCCCTGTCTCCTGCCCTTCTTGCTCGGATTGAGAGGGGCAGGGCTGATGATGGATAATATGAATATTCCAGTAACTTCAATTCTCCTTGAAAAGAAATTCTTTCTAAAAACAGAATCCCTGCAAAGGGTCATCATTTCAGTTTTGGTAGAACATCTTCCTCCATTCTCCTTCTTCCACCACTCCATAAAGAGCTGTCAGGTTATTCATACAGATGCTGATTTGAGAGTTTTTCAGCTGCTATTAGTTTCCTTGTTTCAAAGCTGCGAAAGTAGTGTTGAGTGGAAAGGTGTGATCCAAGATGAATTTTGCTGGCCTGAAAGTACTGCCCTCATTCTGAGCAATGCTGAGCTTTCTGTTTATTCTGGAGAAATTTAGTGCATTGCTCTCAATTATGGAGCTAGAGTTCTGATGGGAGAGGAGAATCCCTTTGAGAAACTCTTACTGATTTTTCACCGACACCAGAAAACATGGCACTGCTTCCATGCATTCAGTCCCAGGCCTTTATTTTAGGGTGTTATGTTTACCTGGATCCAGGTTCTTTCTCTCGGGTCTCTTGTTTTCAAAGACCTATTTCCTGATGTGTTTCCCACTTGTGCATGACCTGGCTTTGGGGTCCAGTGTTACCATAGCAGTAAATCTTTACTTCATGCAAATACGGCTGCTTGTCCAGTCTTATAACTGCCATAGTGTGTGATGGTTTCCCAGCACGTGCAACAGTTGCTTCTGGTAGCATGGATAAATGCCATAAAATACCACTTGCATCCTGTGGAAGAGCTCAAAGCAGCCAGTCTAGGTGCCTGCTCTCCAGGTGCATTTATTCTGCTTTTCCTTTTATAAAGGGATTAAAGGTGGCAGCCCTGGTGTGTGCATGTTCTGTGTTCATGAAAGGAGATATGCACTGAATTTTTTGGAGTCACTGCGGCCTTGGATTCATCTACTCCATAAGGCAAGCTAAGAATTTTGATCCAGCCCCAACTGGTCTGGCAAATGACTACAGATGTTACTGTTAATGTGTTAATGCTTTTTTTTTTTTTTAATTGTTATATCTAGTGCATTAAATGGCAGGATTAAAAAGCTTCTGAGTATTTGGAGTTTTGTGTTACAGTTGGGTTTTAGCTATTTTGCTTTCAAGTCACCGATTTTTTGCTAATAGTGATGTTTTGGTGATGTTTGCTGATGATCTGTAGGCCACATTTTGCTTTCTGATCTGGTTGGAGATGCAGCTTGGATGAACTGTGAAACAAGTGCAGTTTGAGGGAATGTTCTAACAGCAAAATCCCTGGACTGCATTTGCACAGCTGCTAAGTTGCTGCAGTACTCTCTCCCTCTGCCTTTCTGTGACAGAGAAAAGGGAGTTTAAGGGAGTAAGGAGAGCTGATCAAGAACTTTGAGTCAGGCATCACCAATGGCCAGTTTAGTGAGAAAGGCAAGTTAAGTACTCAGGCTGTACATCCTTGTAGATATCCTGGGAAACTCCTTTCAGTGCCTTCTGCTAATGCTGAAGGAAAGCCATCCAGTCTTACAATACCACTTAGGTGTTCTTGCTTTTTTGCTAAAATGGGCCAGTGATTCCATTTCTAAGGAAAAAATCTTATACCCTGGTCTTGAAAAGATGGTTTTGCAACCCAGTTAAATGCATCATGTTAGCTGGCTGTCTTTGCTTACAGAGAGCTTCCACACTTTTAATTTTATTAGATCATTTCCTTTCTGGAGGCTTTCTACTGGAGGAATCTTCAGTTGTAAATGGATGTCTTCAGCATGCTGACTTGAGTCTCTGCTCTTCCAGATGCTAGTGGTTGTCCACTCCTGGGCAGGGTCTGGAAGTGCTGGGCACAGATCTCACGAGGTGGCAACAGCAGTTTCCAGCTCTTGCTGTGGCTGGGACAGAGGTGATCCCTCCAGCGGGTCCAGAGGAGGCCACGAAGATGCTCAGGGGGCTGGAGCACCTCCCCTGTGAGGACAGGCTGAGAGTTGGGGCTGTTCAGCTTTCTTTTTGTCAGGTGAACTACTTTCTCTTGTGTGCCTCTGAAGATGAACGCAATCTCCCTCAAACCCAAAGACAGAAGTACAATTTTCACCATTGCACTGCCTTTTCCTCTCCCTGCTCCCATTAAAATTAAGCAGCGTGTAGCTTCTTGAGGGCCTGTGAAACAGAAGCAAAATAGGCATTACTTTGCTGAGCTGGCAGGCTGCAATGTTTTGATTAGAGATAAGCAGGATAACTGGTGTATTGCCTAGCCTGAAAGTCATCCCTAGTCAGTGCAGGTGCAGGTGTGCCCAGCATGAAGGGTCAATGGCTCAGCTTTCTTCATGTTGGAATGTGCCTCCTAATTCACAAGCATTGTTTAAGAATTTGGTACACCGCTCGTCTGTACCTTACTAACTGCAAGGTTATCATAGAATCATAGAACAGTTCAGGTTGGAAAAGACCTTGGGATCATCGAGTCCAACCATTGACCCTACACTACAAGGTCACCCCTAAACCACATCACCCAACACCACATCTAAACAACACTTGAACACATCCAGGGATGGCGACTCAACCCCCTCCCTAGGCAGACTGTTCCAGGGTCTGACCAC